AGAAAGAAAGAAAGAAAGAAAGAAAGAAAGAAAGAAAGAAAGAAAGAGTTGTTTCTACTATGGGTCACACAAAGTTTGGTGTAGTGATTAAAGTGTTGGCCTAGAAACCAGGAGATGGAGAATTCTATCCCATGAAAGCTGGTTCAGTGTCTTTTGGGCCAGTCATTCTCTCTCAATCCAACCCACCTCAAAGCATTGCTACTGTGGAGAAAATATTAAGAGAAATGAGAAGGGAATGTTATGCATGTGAGCTGTCTAGAATTATTTTCAAATAATAAAGGCAGGATAAAAATCAATCAATCAATCAATCAAAATAAATAGAATTTAGTTTGCTGGAGTTTATGACTCATCAAGGAAGATTCTGCTCTGAAGTTTAAGTTCATGTCACTTCACCTGGCTGTTGCTGAGGTAGAAACTAAACTTCCTTATACTGTAGGAATAGAAAAATAGAAATGCCCTCTTAATGCAGATCTCACCTGAATGGAGTACATGATGATCTTAAAGCAACGGATTGCAAAGGTATTTGGTTCCCAAAGAGAGTGGTTATCTAAGTGGCTTTTGGGAAATAAGAAGGAAAAAAGAGATACAAATTTAGCAGACTTGATGGAATTGACTAGTCATCTAAATTAGAAAGACATTTCAAAGATCAACAACTTTAAATTAGCAAATGAAACCAAACCTAGCTGTTTTTTTACAATGTAAAAAAAGCCCCTCTTCTATGAAGACAACTTAGAATTTAGCGTGTTAAGCCAATAATTGCCGTAGGTCAGTCTGCCTTGGGACCACAGGCAGTTATTTTCATGAAGAAGTTTAAGCTGGAGCTGATTGTGGCTCCAGCTTAAATTTGGTTAGAACCAAAGTTGATTCTAATTAAAGGTCCATTATTTTTCTCACTACAGGGACCACCCAGATGTTTCTGGAGAATGAGTCCACAAATAGACAATGAAAGACCGTTGACATCCTAAATCATGGCCTGGATGAACAAACAATAGGGTCAATCCAGAAAACTATATTATTGGTTTTTTAGTGTTCTCCAAGGTTGGTTGTTTTCTTGCAAATGTTTCAATCTAAGGCTAAGTTGATGCTGCTCCCTGTGTACCTGGGTGAATTCCTAGAGAATTCCTGAAAACCTGGCATTTTGATGAATCAGCAATCAATAAAGATCATTCCTATTTACGTACTATTAAAAACATACACATGAAAGTCAAAGAAAAAAACAAACAGCTGAAATCACATTCTTCCTAGCTATCAACATCCTGATAAATAGGAATAGTTACCAGATAAACAGGCAGGGAAGAAACAATATATGCAGTTCTTGACTTACAACCATTCGTTAAGTGTTAAGCATCTGTACAAAGTTACAATGACACTGAAAGAACAAATTTTACCACCAGTTCTTGCACTTATGATGGTCACAGCATCCCTACTATCATGCGATCAAAATTCAGGTGCTTGGCAACCAGCATGTATTTATGGTTGCAGCGTCACTCTTGGGTTATGTGATCACCATTTGCGACCTACCCAACTGGCTTCTGATAAGCAACGTCAATGCGGGAAACCAGATTTGCTTAACAGCCGCATGATTCACTTAACAACTGAAGTGAGTTGCTTAACAACTGTGACAAAAAGGGTCTTAAAATTGGATAATGCTCACTTAATTACTGCAATGGAAATTCTGGTCCCAGTTATGATTGTTAAGTCAAGGATTACCTATATCTTGATCAGGGGTGGGATGCTACCGGTTCTGCCCGGCTCTATAGAACCGGTAGCTCTGAAGAGCAGCAGACACAGAACCGGTTCTGTGTCTGTTGCTGTTTGGCTTACCCACCCACCTGTCCTTTATTTCATTATTTTACCTGTCCTTTATTTCTTGCTTTTTCAACCTCAGCTGCTTTGTGCAACACAGCTGAGGTTGAAAAAGCAGGAAAAAAGAGGCTTTTCAAATGCTGCACATCCGCATGCAGCACTTATCAGCTGTCCGGGCGGCACAGCTTATGGTATATTACACGCGCGCACAGCAAAACGTAATCACCAAACTGGTAGTAACACCAGTTGAATCCCACCCCTGAACGTGATCATTTTCAGGATATATTGAGTAGTGTTATGTGTGTCTGGAAGAAGGCCTTTTTAGTAGCCACCCAACCCTATGGAGCAGTTAAGATCCCTGAGGTCTTACATTTTAGGGAAGTTTTTCACTGAGTTTTTGAGGCACAGTATCTATCCCCAGTAAGGTTGCTGCTAATTTTCTGTTTGATATTAGATTTTTAAAATTAGTTTTATGCCAATTATATGTACTATTTGTGATGTCTGCAATTTTATAAGTTGTGACCCTTCTGGAATCTTAGACTGGGGAGGTATATAAATGAAACAATGAGTGACTGAGAAAATACATTCATTCAGCGGAGCTTATTTTACTATTTTAGTTTGGTTGATCTAGAAATAGGAGCCTTTGGGTCAGAACAGCCCCAGTGCTAGAACAACCCTGAAGCTGACCTGATCGAAGCCATCTTGGAGTTTCAATGTTGCCACACTGGAGCTGAGGGATAGGGAGGGGGGATTTGAGATAGCTGGGACTTTTAGTCAAAGTAAAATACTTTCTCTTAGGAACTAAGGACCTTCTCACACCTGGTCAGAGGAAGGAAGAGTGATTTCACCAGGCAACCGGATGGCACCTTGATTGGACCATGCGACCGATTATTTGGGGAAAGGGAAAAATATTTACTTTTAATTAGGTGAAAACAGTGGGAACCTTCAGAGTTGGTTTTCACCAGATCTGTGCCAATATGATATATCCAATAAAGCTACTCTTTGAGGAATATACCTGCCTCAGAGTTTTGCTTACTATGGGTCTATTACTTGGAACCCTGACACAACTCCTTTGTCACTGGATCAGTTGCTTCCTTATTTAGCATTAGAGAGGAGTAAAAATAGTTGTATTGCAATGGGACTTTAAAAGTTATGTTTAGTTTCTAATTTTAATGCCACAATTCAGTTGTATTAGATGGCTTTTCCTCCTATCCTTGTTTTAATAAGATTTACTCTATACCAGGGGTCTCAAACTCAATTTACCTGGGGGCTGCTGGAGGCAGAGTCTGGGTGAGGCTGGGCCGCATAAGGGATTCCACAGTGGCACTGCAGACGTCATTTCCGCTTGGCTTCTACTTGTCAGCGGCTCCTGGTTTTGCCTTTCCCTTCCCAAGGCAACGCGGGACTGGAGCCGCGCGGAGCTGCGCCGGCAGTAGCAACTCCTGACAACCCCAGCCGGACACCTGAGCGGAGCCTGGGCGGAACTGCCTGTTGCTGCTGCGGGCGCTGCTGCGGGCGTCTGGCTGCCCAAGTAAAGAACCGCACCAGCTCAGGGCAACTGTGAGGAGCAATAGGGGAAGCCGGACCATTGGAGAAGCGGAGCAAAGCTGGAGATTAGTAGCTGCCTCTTTCGGCGCAGAAAGCTTCCCCCAACCAGCCGGCTGGTCTCCTCCTCCTCGGCCATACAGAACAAACAGGCAGAGAAGGAGGAGAGCAGCTGGCCAGTTGGGGGAGGCTTCTTGTGCTGCGAAAGAGGCGGCTAATGATCTCTGGCTCCGCTCTGCTTCTCCAACATCCGGCGCCGCCCTGTTCTATGTGCTGGCTGCTCAGACTTGCCGGGCCCGAATGTCAGCCACGACGAGGAATGGCGGTCCATTCCCCCTGTGGGCCGCACTAATATTATACTTTCATATCACAGTGGGGGCCACAGGATATCATCCTGCAGGCTGCAATTGACCTGCGGGCCGCGAGTTTGAGACCCCTGCTCTATACTATCCTAGATACCAATTAGGAGAGGAGAAGGGTTTTAAAGTTGATGATTTGCACTGCAGCTCAAATACTATTAACACTGCTAGAGAACCAATGACTGGATGTAATGCAACATGACAGAAGAGGCTAAAATTGAAGGCCCGTTTATGGCTGAGGAAGTTATAGGAAGCCACTGTCGTCTTAGCGTGTTGGGTGAACCACAGCCATAACAACAGGTCTTAAGATGGTTTATTTTAGAGAGATCCCCCTGCACGTGTGAAGCTGGGATGATGGCTTAATGTGGGAATTAACCTTTTTTGCTTAGACCAATTCACACCCTTGTTGCGATTTAAGGGAATAAGATGAGATCACTTTGTGTAATATCCCCATATTTCTTGGGAAAACGCTGGAATAAAAACATACTATTAATGATGGTGATCATCATCATTGTTCTGCCCATGTGTCATTAAGTGTGAGGAAGAAGTAGTTCAATCCACCTGGTTTTTGTAAACATCTCACAGGGGAAACTGAGGCAGTTGTAGAACGCACAAGGCAAGGGACTTACATGAGGACAGGCTTGATTGCGTTTTTGATATTGCCATAGGCTGCCCGACCCAGGAGCTCCCGCAAACATCGTTCAGCCAGCTCTGCTGGGTTCTCTTTCTCCTTCTCAGCTGTTTGCAAGGGTGAGGGAGAACGGCTAAAGGAAGCAAGGAAAAAGAAAAAGAAAAAGCTACAACTTAAATGTCAAACATGCATTTCACAGGCAACATGCAAGTAGCATATTTGTTTTTCTAGTTTTGCTTAAAAAGAGACTTCGGGAGTCTGAAGTGCTCATCCCTTTCTCTGCACACGGAATGAAAATTGGAGGCACAAAGATTTTATTAGTGGGAAAGGATTACAAGAAATGTTCATTTCTCTGCAGACAACGGCCACAACTTTCCATATGATCCAATCTCGAGAATTATGCAGACGTTTGATAAGTCACGCAGAGATCAGGCGGACGGCCTCCTCTGGGTCATTGTTGTGTCTCTGTACTAAAATTGATCTAATGAACGCAATCCATATAACGATCTGCGTCAGGACAATGAATCACACCAAAATAGGAATTTAGAAATGCAAAGCGTATCCTTACAAAAAATTCTCAAGTCTCCCTGGCCAGAATCGTGTACTCTGAGCACAATCGCTCTGCAGGATTTCAGTCAAAGCCTCTTTCAAGCCAACCTGCAAATTGTCAAGGGCTGAATGTGGAAATTTCTGCTTTCTAACTAATTAGTCTATTCCTGAATTACTGTGTATTTTCTCCCCTTGGTTTAAAGAAAATCCTAATTATTTACACATTCCTCATAGCATGCCAACTCAAACTCAAATTGAGAACATGTTTTGTTCTGGCGGGCTATATGAAAGCCTGGATCACAGCAGGGGGGTTTCCAGTGTTTTATGAGTCCCATTCTCTCCTTTGCAGACAAAATCATGAGTAATTACATCGTTAAAATTTGACCATCTACTTCAAAGGTCAGTGCTACATTCCAGGCTTCTGGGAAGGAGTCTTTCAACACAATGCTAGGAAACTATTTGTGGCTTGCAGCCATAGGTTGTCCATCTTACTCTGATAAATGTCAGAGTAAGCAGAACTATTTCTATTCCATAAATCTTCTATAATTCTATAACCCCATGAGTTTGATAAGGCAGAATGGTGGGAACTTCAGGATCGATAAAGGTAAATTCTTCATACAATACATTGTTACACTTTGCAATTTACGGTTTGGAAACACAGAGAAGCCTGCAAATTTGAATCACTTTAATAGAGGGATTAGAATAACTTTTTCAGAAAGATGGTGTCAGGATAAAACTGTGTGTTACCTTGTGGTCTAGAGCAATGGTCGCAAACTTTTTCAGTCCACCACCCCCTTGGTGCTACAAACTCATCCTCAATGCCCCCAACCCAGGGGCGGGATTCAAATTTCTGTGGGCATGGCCTAATTTGAGGGTGTGGTTTGCTGGTCATGAGATTGGGTGGGCGTGGCTTGGTCACATGACTGGCTGGGCATGGCTTGCTGGTCACGTGACTGTTGGTGTGGCTTGCTGGTCATGTGACTGGGTGAGCGTAGTTTGGTGACTGGAAAACCAAATACAAGTGATCCTCACTTAATAGCCGGTTGCTTAACAAGTGTTCTAATTTATGACTGGCTTCCCCAGAACTACTTGACCTGTTTTTGGAGTTTTGACAGCCATGCACACACATATACACATACTCCCTTCCAACCCTGCTGGAGCAGGTCATTGGACTAGAATCGGCAAAGCATCTCTGATTAGATTCTAGTAGTGAATAAAATCTAATCAGAGATGCTTTGCCAATTCTTGTTGATTTGTTTTATTTGTATTTCTTTATTTTATGTTGCTGAATTGCATTGACATGTGTGTCCCTTCTTGTGCACAACCCAGAAGCTTTTGTGATTCTTTGCAGCAAAAATTACTGACCTCTGGCTTTGCCATACTTTTCAAACGTGCCAGCACTGCCACGTTCTAGGTGCTGGCCCCACAGGTCCACCCCATTGAGCCTGCTGCACTTGAGGAACCTGCCCAAGCAAGTCCGAGCAGAGCAGTGCACCAAATCAATGGGGTGAGCCTGGGAGAGGGAAAGAGAGAGAGAGAGAAAAGAGAGAATGAAAAAAAGAAAGAGAAAAGGGAAAGAAAGAAAAAGGGACAAAGAAAGGGGGGCATGGAGGGATGGAGAGGGAGAGAGAGAGAGAGAGCAAGCGAGCACTGATGCATCAGATTGAAATGAGGCCTAGTTTACAGGCCCCTTTCCACATTAAAACATTTTTGCCAGCATCTTTGCCAGCACATTGAAACATCTTTGGCTTCTATTAATTAAAGGTTTTGTGGACGAAACATGGCCAAGACTATGAGGAAGCTGCCACATTTGTTGCGGCTTTAAACAGGATCCATTGGACCAGATCTCCACCCTAAGAAATTACTTTTCCCCAATGTGCCAATTCTGAAGAAGGCAAAACCAAAATGTACTGGTAAATTACAAGGAGAACACACACATGCACACACTCCCTTCTAACCCTGCTGGAGCAGGTGATTGGACTAGAATAGATATCTCATTATCTTTCTCCTCCCTCCTTCTTTATTTCTTTTTCTTTCTGTCCCTTCCTTCCATTCCCCCTCTTTCTTTGTCCCTTTTTCTTTCTTTCCTTTTTCTCTTTCTCTTCTTCCTTCTCTCTTTCTCTCTCTCTCTCTCTCTTTCCCTCTCTCAGGCTCACCCCATTGACTTTGTGCACCGCTTCGTTGGGACTTGCTTGGGCAGGTGCTTCCGGTGCAAGGGGCTCAATGGGGTGGAACACGGCGGCAGCAGGATGTTTGAAAAGGAGAGCAAAGCCACTCTGGCTTTGCTCTCCTATTCCCAACGCTGCGTTTGGGGCGCTGCTCCACCGCCCAGAACATGGCGGTGTGATGTTAGAAAAGGCTTTGCTCTCTTATTCCCAGCGGCGTTCGGGGCCCCGGCCCCCCCCCCCCAAACACAGCAGTGGGATGTTTGAAAAGGAGAGCAAAGCCACTGTGGCTTTGCTCTCCTTTCCCAATGCTGCGTTCGGGGGGCGGAGCTCATTGCACCAGAGCGTGCAAGTCAATGGGATGATCCTGCGGGGCCTTGCCTCGAACACGGCAGCGGCGGGATTTTTTCTCACCCCTGAATTGTGCCCTGCCGCTCACCTCCAGCGCCCCCCTGCCATCTCTTAGCGCCCCCCTGCCGGCCCCCTTGCCTCTCAATTCCACAAGGCATCCCACTGCCCCCCAGGGAGTGGTACTGCCCACTTTGGGAACCACTGGTCTAGAGGAAAGTCAGAACATACACCTACTAAGAGCCATGGTGGCACAGTGGAATACAGTACTACAGGCTACTTCTGCTGCCTGCCGGCTGCCTGCAATTCGGCAGTTCAATTCTGACCAGCTCAAGGTTGACTCAGCCTTCCATTCTTCCAAGGTTGGTAAAATGAGGACCCAGATTTTGGGGGGCAATATGCTGACTCTGCAAACCTCTTAGAGAGGGCTGTAAAGCACTGTGATGCAATATAAGTCTAGGTGTTATTGCTACTTATCAGATGCATGACATAATCACTTAAATTAGTGGTGTAAACAGAGACAAACATGAAAAAAGGACAAACAGTGCAAGAGACTGTAATAGGAACGTTACAGTTCAAGCAGAAAACAAATGAATCCAAGATTAAATCAGTGCAGAGGTAACCTACATCTTGATGAGCAGATGTTGTTGTGCATGTACCCAAAATGAGAAAAAAAATACTTTCTATAGAGACCAAGCTACTCATTATAGGGCCCATGGTATCAAATTTGGTAGGCAAGTCTCTGACGTATTTCCAATGCTAGATTTTCGCAAGTAGCAAAGCCTAATTTTGCAAGAACAACACCAACAATTCTATGTACCTTTCTGCTTCCTCTGCATGCTGAAGGTTGAAGAGCAATGAAGGCACAATCTTGTCCATATGTTGAGGGTCCCAGATGTTTGCCTGTAACTCATCATTAACTGTTTTCCGAACCACACCCTGTAGTCCTTTGATGCCAGACATTCGGATCCTTTAGGAGTAAAAGACTAATGTTAAGAAGGTAACCAGGAAATGGGGTTTTCCTTCTATTTGTAATGCTTGGCTCCTGAAAGGTACCAAACTTGTACATTCTAGAGCCAATGGTTCCAAGGGTGCCACACTGAATTCATGGAGGCCCTGTGGGATATTTTACTATGTAATAAACAGAATTAGCTGCAATACCCTAGGGTATCACAGCGCATTTTGGGAACCGCTAAGGGCACTGTGAACCAAGGAAATTTGAAAACTTCGCTGCTTGGGAGGTAGGAGTTTATTGGTTATTCTCCAGCAATTAGAAGAGAGACTCTATGCTAACAATGGTTTGTAACAAACTTTTTAAAAAGCATTTTGGGCATCAAGAGGCAGAGCAAAACAACTGTTGTGGTTCACCGGCAGCCTGTGCAACGGAATCGGACAGTGGGGAAGAACGAGGACCAGTCCAGGAGTCTGGAGAGGACTTGGACAAGGGTCCTGTGTCTGATGCAGAGATGGGGCCAGGACCATCTGGGAGTGGTGTGCTGACTCTGGAGCCTGGCAGCAGCGAGGCAGAGGAACAAGGGGAGCCTGTTCCCAGTGCATGTGTGCGCAGAACTGCTAGAAGGTGACAGCAGCTGAGACAAAAGGGGCGACTCGGGAGTAAGGCTTGGAGGTGATTGCCCCTCCCATAAAGTATAAAGGACAGGCAAAGATAGAAAAACCTTTGCAGGAAGCAAAGTCATTTGCTCTGTTCGGATTAAACCTTGAAGCTCTATGTGGACTTTGTACTTTGGTTGATTTTTTAATAGTTAATTTGGCACTTTAGTTGTTGGCAGCAATTCAAAGGAGAGAAAGGTGAGTGCTTATCTCGAGGGACTGTTTGGGATTCATTACAGGCTGGGAATGAACATAATTCCCAGCACTGAAATAAAACAAGAGTTGTTTAATTATGGTCTCAGGAAGCCTTGGTCAGAAAAAAAACGCTGTTCCTTATATTTAAATAGTACAAACAATGAAATGGGCAAATTCAATGCACAAAGATGACTGTGATAGCAGCAGACCAGTTAGAGAATGTCAAAGACCCAGAACATCCCAGTTCAAATCCTTATTTTTCTATAGGCTATACATAATTTAGCTGGCCATTTTAATCTTGGTCCAGAATCCTCTCTTAGCTTAGTGAATTTGGTGAAATCATTGTAAGGGGAGTAGGAGAGAAAACTATCTATGTTGTTCTGAGGCTTTTGGGTGAAAAAGGGATTTAAAATATACCAATATTTAGAGAAATAATTACTAACAAATATAAAAAACAAACATTAATATTACATTGGTAATACAATATAAGAATAACAAACCTAAGTTGAGCATTATGCGTGTACAATTTGAGTATGTAATTAATGGAATGTGTTACTTTGAGTTCATCTATTGGCAGTTTACCCATGAAAGAAGAAAGAAAAAGGGGATGTTTGAAAGTCAAAAGAAGAGACACAACTCTGTATTTTGTAGTCCATTTCCTTGTACCTGGTTATTTTAGTTATGCCTGCACTGGATGCTTTTGCCCCGGAACATGGTACCTTATGGTAACATCCTCCTTTCCCCCTCAAAATAAGTCTAAAAATCTAAGCATCTACTCAAATGAATGATTCATGATAGTGAATTTCATCAGTAAATTTAAAACTCAACTGAAATAACCCTTTCATTAATTTGTTCTGAACCTCCTGCCAAACCAGGTGGCACTGAATTTTAACCCTAATATGAGGGAGGGCAACAGTTGCCCCAACCCACAATTCCAAAACATGTAGAAAAGTATAAAAATAACAGCATTAATAAGAGGCAACTAGCTGAAGAGCGTTAGTCACTAATTAGGTGACTACATCAAAAGACCACCTGGCATATTATATTGTAAACTACCACCTTCACCCTTAGCCTTGGCTTTTCATTATCCCTCAGCTTCTGAAAAGCTTTTCCAGGCTTCCATATTTGTCAAAGAGCAAAAAAGAAACAACTAAAACACATCCTTAGCAGATTAATTGTAGGACACAGTTCATCCTAGGAACAGCAGGGAGCATGAACAGTGGGCAGATGCGAAAATAGATCTAAGACAGCAGCAACCCACAGTGCTTGATAGGGTGGGGAAGAGGAGGGCAAGAAAACACGAAAGGGCTCTTAAAAGGGGCTATGGCTGACGCAGAGCTGGCTGGCAGTAAATAATATGCATCAGATTCTACTAGAGCAGCGGTGTCAAGCTCAAGGCCCACAAGCCGGATCCAACCCATGGGGTGCTTAGATCTGGTCCACAGGGCTGACCTGAAAAAGCAAAGGACCGCCTTACGGCCCTCCCGAACTTCGTTTTAGCTGGCAGGGAGTCGCAGGAGGCTGCTGCAGCCGAAAACGGAGCTCAGCAGAGCACTTTCGCTGGCAGAGCGCTCAGTCCACCACAGGCGCCCCTGACACGAGTGATGTCGAGGTGGCCACGCCCACCCTGACCATGCCCATCCCAGCCTCCCCAAGGTCAAACACAATCCTGACGCGGCCCTCAGTGAAATCAAGCTTGACACCCCTGTGCTAGAGGAAGAATCATCTTCATCAAAAAGGAAGGGGGATTCTCTATTAAATTTGTCCCTTCGGCGACTACAAGTTCCACAGATAAAATGACGATCACATCCAGAATTCTGTTTTATCATTCTTGTGATATTGCAGGAATGACAAATTGGAAGATTGAGGGGGCCTACTGATTGAAGAGATTCATATTCCTCAGTCGTATTTTTAGCGATTAATCCCACCCATCCCAGCTAACTTGAAAAATCGCTACAAATGGCAGATGGATAAGAATACAAGACTCATTAATTAAAAGTGAAGGAACCAGTATAGAAAAGAGCAGAGTGATGGAGATATCACAGCATGCTTGGTATATCTGAAGGGTGCAAAGTTTGTGCTTCGGTGTTCTTGAGAACAAGATAAATGGAGCAGATTTAAATTACCGTATCTGATTTCAATGTAACATTGGAACTAGTTTTTTATAGAACAGTTTGATAATGGAGTCAAGCTAAGTAGGAAAGTCTAATCAGGAATTCTTCAAATACAGCTTGGATACCGTGAGGGGGCATTTTAAGTTTTGAAAAACCTGTATTGAAATGAAAGAGAAAGTTCAACTTAGTCAAAGCTGCTCCTTTCAATTTTAAAGTCGTTGATTTAGGAAATGCTCCTGTTATATCTATTCTTTCTGCCTATAAACTAAATTAATGCTGGACACCATCACCAGGAAACAATATGTGTACATTTTTACCTTCAAGCGTGGAAAAGCAGATTTATTTATTTCATAGTGTCCTGCGCACACAAGCAAACAGGCTTTGAGCCTGCAACAAATATTTGCCCCTGCATCTGGATACCATGATGAATTAGAAAAGCCATGAACCACTTCATACAACACTTTTTGTATCAGGCCAGATTCATCTGTGTGACTCAGGGCTGTCAAACTAGGGGCCAATGGGCCGGATGCATCACGCACTGGCCACGCCCACGCCCAGTTTAACAGATAATCAGAGTTGGAAGGGACCTTATAGGTCATCTAGTCCAACCCCCCACCCAAGCGGGAGACCCTACACCATTTCTGACAAATGGCAGTCCAATCTCTTCTTGAAAGACTCAAGTGATGGCGCTCCCACAACTTCCGAGGGAAAGCTGTTCCATTGGTTGATTGCTCTCACTGTCAGAAAGTTTCTCCTTATTTTCAGGTTAAATCTCTCCTTGTTCAGTTTCCATCCGTTATTCCTTGTCTGGCCAACAGGCGCTTTAGAAAATTGCTTGACCCCTTCCTCCCTGTGGCAGCCCCTCAAATATTGGAAGACCGCTATCATGTCTCCCCTGGTCCAGTTTAGCAAAAGGGGAAAAAGTCCCGATAGATCATGTGACACCACTATGACAATGTGAGTTTGACACCCCTTGGTCTAACTGATTCAGGAATTTGGTTCTAAGGGCATGGATCTCGTCTTTCTTTGAGGGACTCAAGTCTTTCTCCCTCAACTTGCCTTGACAAAGGTTTAACAACATAAGATAAATTACTATACCAGGAGTTTGATAGGGAAGTTCAACAGGAGAAAGATAACACAAGCTTAGGGAAGCTATCTATTTGAAGGGACTATCTGCTTAAATGAACAACTGTCTACTATAGTTTATTGTAACATTACTTCTTGAAGAGTAAGAGGGTAGAAGGAATATAAAGAATGAACCCACAGAGCAAGCAAATAGTTTTTTTTAGTTGAGCTTGAGGTAGTGGGGTCTAGTAATTCTAAGTGAAGAATGTGTTCTGTACTTAACTACTTGAGAAATGAAGATACAAATGCTTCTCTTGGATGGCGTTTAGAGCAATGTTTCTCAATCTCAGCCATGTTAAGATGTGCAGATGTCAACTTCCCGAATTGCAACCCATCGGAGTTGAAGACAACATTTTTGAAATAAAGAACCCAGACAAAGATTTGTGAACTGCAGAAATGAAAGTGTGCTCTGACAGGATCCATTACATCAGTAACAGCAACTGAAATATATAATTTGTTCACAGAAACCAAAGCAAAAGAACGAGAGGATGTATGTTAAATTACCTATCTCTGCTCAAAAATTAAAATAGATGCAACAGAGACCAATTGGGTAAAATAAACGGAGGAATGAACTGATATTTGTAACTGATATTTACTGTAACTGATATTTGTTTGTTGCCCAACAAAAAGATGTGGATGATGCTTTCCAAAGGAAAACCTCAGAATTTCTAAAATGTATGAATTATGAGTGATACAGGACTATAACTATTATCACATCTGTTGAAAAAAAAAAAAGCTTCTGCCAAAGATGGTTCAAGAAATTCTCAACTTTTCTTGTTCACAAATTTCTCTTTCAGAGGAGGGATGAAAAGGGTCCACTTTGATGTGTTAAGCTGCTGTCCTAGAAATCAGAAGAAGATAAATTCTGCTGCTCCATTAGGCATGAAGACTGGCTGGGTGATTTGGGACCAGTCATTCTCTCTTAGTCCAACCTACCTCATATGTGTTTTGGAGAAAATAGGAGGTGGGAATATTAGCTATAATACTGCCTTGCTGCCTTGAACTGAACAAAAACAAAGGCAAGACAAAAATCTAATAACAAATGTAAATAGGCAGCCTAAAAAGGGAGATACTGAAAGCACAATTACGGCAGGGAAAGGAGACCAAAATAGGAGACCAAAAGCTAATATAGTAGAACAAAGGTTTACTGAATATTTTAAAAAGGGGCATACAGAGGTGGTAAAAAGAAGGGCTTTATTAGACTTCACAGTCTAAATCAGCGTTTCCCAAACTTTTTCAGTCCACCGCCCCCTTGGTGCTACAAACTCATCCTCAATGCCCTCCACCCAGAGGCGTGATTCAAATTTCTGTGGGCGTGGCCTAATTTGAGGGTGTGGCTTGCTGGTCACGTGACTGCGTGGGCGTGGTTTGGTGACTGGCAAACCAAATACAAGTGGTCCTCTCTTAATGACCAGTTGCCTAGCAAGTGTTCTAATTTATGACTGACCTCCCCAGAACTACTTGACCTGTTTTTGGAGTTTTGACACCCATGCACACACACACACACACACACACACACACACACACTCCCTTCTAACCCTGCTGGAGCAGATGATTGGACTAGAATAGATATTTCATATTTCTCCTCCCTCCCTCCCTCCCTCCCTCTTTATTTCTTTTTCTTTCTGTCCCTTCCTTCCATTTCCCCCCCCCTTTCTTTGTCCCATTTTCTTTCTGTCCCTTTTCTTTTTCTCTTCTTCCTTCTCTCTTTCTCTCTCTCAGGCTCACCCCATTGACTTCGTGCACTGCTCTGTTCGGACTTCCTTGGGCAAGTGCCTCCAGTGCAAGGGGCTCAATGGGGTGATCCTGCGGGGCCTCGCCCCAAACGCAGCGTTGGGAAAGGAGAGCAAACCAGAGCGACTTTGTTCTCCTCTTCAAACATTTGAAAAAGAGAACAAAGCCGCTCTGGTTTGCTCTCTTTTCCCAACGCTGCATTCGGGGTGAGGTCCCGCAGGATCACCCCATTGAGCACCCTGCACCAGAGCATGCAAGTCAATGGGGTGATCCTGCAGGGCCTCGCCCCGAACGCAGTGGCGGCAGGACGTTTGAAAAGGAGAGTAAAGCCACTCTGGTTTGCTCTCCTTTCCCAACACTGCGTTTGGGGCAAGGCCCCCCAGGATCACCCCATTGAGCCCCTTGCACTGGAGCGTGTAAGTCAATGGGGTGATCCTGCGGGGCCTCGCCCCGAATGCGGCGGCAGGGGGATTTTTTATCACCCCTGAATTGTGCCCTGCGAGGGACCCAGCTCTAGCGTCCCCCTGCCACCTCTTAGCGCTTCCCTGCCAGCTACCTTGCCTCTTAGCACCCCAAGGCATCCCATCGCACCCCAGGGGGCGGTACTGCCCATTTTGGGAACCACTAGTCTAAATAGTTTCTTCCTTCTCGAAGTTGCTGTTTTAGGATTAGCATCACCACTATTTAAAATCATACATATTCATTACACCCCCTCTGCCTTCATGCAGAATTTCTAGACCGCCATGTGTCCTAGAAAACTTGAGAGTTAAAGGCAGCTTCTCCAGTAATATGTTGAACGGGTGACATACGAGGAAGAATTAATGTTTCTCATGTTGCTTTTGCTTGCTCTTAGAACAGCATCTTAATTCCCCAAAATGCAGTTACTGTTGGCTGTCCCCAAATTTATCTAGGTTCCAAGCACTGAATCACAGGAAACGTTTTAGAGATACATTCTTGATGGTATCAAAAATGCACATCACCAATGGTGATGAAAACTGGGGGCACTCATCCCCCAGATGCGCTCACAAACTGCACGGGGGTAGAATGGTGTGGAGGGGAAGATTCCAACACACCAGTTCTATGTCTTTCTGGCTGTTTTTGGAAGACAAAAGCACATTTTCCTTTCCTGAGAATTGTATTGTTTGAGGGGGTGCAGTGGCAAGTTATCATTTATTTATACCACTAGATGGCGCCTATTGTTCTTTCTTTTTTAAAATAATCCAAAATCTTGAAAATATGATGAGTTTGGCCATTTTTTTTTTAAAAAAGGATTTTTTCCAAGGTATAATACTGTTTGAAATTATGTACTTTGCTGAATATCTGCATTGACTTACAAAGTAAATCTAGAAAGCTACTATGAATGCAAAGTGAATATAAAAAGCTACTGTTCAATTCCACTGATTGAAAGATGGGGTTTTCTGCAATATTGAATTATTAGTTGCTACACATTGATTAGTGTAGCATGCTACACTTTGCTAAAATGGGGTTAGGTAGTTTGTAGTTTAGCCTCTTGTAGAAATATGGTTGCTACGCTACTGCATTCTATGTTTTATATTACAGTTTGTTTATATTATATAAATTTGGTCATACTGTATAATATTTGATCATATTGTAGAAGCTTGGGTATAAGAGCCAGTTTGTTTGGTCTAATGGTTAAGGCATCAGGCTAGAAAGCAGGAGATCATGAGTTCAAGTCTCACCTTAGCTATGAAAGCCAGCCAGATACTTTGGACCAATTGCTCTCTCTCAATTGAATCCACCTCACAGGGTTGTTGTTGTGGGGAACATAGGAGAAGGAAGGAATATTGTGTGTGTTCACTGCCTTGACTTATTTGTAAAAATAATAAAAGTGGGATATAAATAAATATTTATCTGGTTTATATTTACATACAGTACATACATGCCCATCACACTAGCTAATTTGCATTATGCAAAGCACAGAAAGGAAGTAAGAAAAAGTAAGCTTAAAGGCACGGGGAAGGAAAGGAAATTTAAACCAACTATATATCAAACCCACTTATTATAATGGGTCTGATATATAGTTATATATATCAAACTCTACTTCCTTATGCTGCTTCACGTAGGCTATGACAATGTGATAGAAAAAAATTGAGAGAATTATCATAAATCATCCTATTTGGTTGGGAATGGATGGAATTGATGAGATCTTCAAAAAAAGAGAGATTTAAGAATGAAAGGCAATGTATACAGTGGTATATGTCTATGATGGAAGCTAGAATAGCTTGCAAGAAAAGAAGATAATGTATGAAAATAGAGTTGATGGAGTTGTTATAACTTAGATTTAATAAGATTTTTTTCCCTTTTCCTTTTTTCTCTTTCATATTTTAGTATCTTTGGTTATTTCTTATTCTCTCTATGTTTGGCTTAATGTTTTTTATCCTGAAAAGGAATAGTATGAAGCTTATCTATGTAAATAGCTGGGCACACCATAAAAAAAAAGAATATTGTAACCTACTTTAAGAACTTAACATGCTGTGTAGAGGTACCACATGGCTTTATCTCCAGAATATATACAACCTTGTTACTGTATTTATCCATTTTCTGAGTCTGCATTGTACCAGTGAATCATAAAATAAACCTAGGAAGGAAATTTGCACAGCACGCTATGTCCTTCAAAAATCTAATCAAGATCATCAGTAAAAGAGCCTAGGATACACTAAGTGTTTATCTGGTTAACTGTGTAGTTAACACCATTACTGGGTTGGGAAGACAAAAGGAGTAGAAAAGCAGAAAAATCAAGACTTTCTTAGGCTGCTAAAGCCACTAGCACCCATTTAGGTCCATATAATGCAGAATAACAGAGTTGGAAGGGACCTTGGAGGTCTTCTAGTTCAGAGGTCTCCAACCTTGGCCACTTTAAGCTTTGCTGGCTGAGGAATTCTGGGAGTTGAAGTCCACAAGTCTTAAAGTGGCCAAGGTTGGAGACCTCTGTTCTAGTTCAACCTGCTGCCCAAGCGGGAGACTCTATGCCTTTCCAGACAAATTGCTATCCAATCTCTTCTTTAAAAACCCCAGTAATGGAATGCCCACAACTTCCACTGGTTAATCGTTCTCTCAAGAAATTTCTCCTTAGTTCTAGGTTGGTTCTCTCCTTGATTAGTTTCTATCCACTGTTTCTTGTCCTGCCTTCAGGTGCTTTGGAGAATAGGTTGGTCCCCTCTTCTCTATGGCAGACCCTTAAATATTGGAAGACTGCTATCATGTTGCCCCAATCCTTCTCTTTGTGAAACTAAGCATACCCAGTTCCTGCAATCGTTCACCATATGAAATGTGTTTGAATATTAGTAGCTTGGGTTGGTAGTTAGGCTGTTGGTTTGAGCTCTGAACTTGGCAGTTTAGTTGCGAACGTTTCGTCACCATTTGAGGAGACATCATTAGTGCGTTCTGAATTGTTCCTCATACGTTTTAGCCTCCAGCTCCCTAATCATCTTTGTTGCTCTTCTCTGCACTCTAGTTTCTAGAATCTACTTACTTTGTCCGGATCTCCATGTCATCATGGCTGGAGTGGCACATTTCACTGAAGCGGGAGACAAAAAAGTCATAGCTCCTGTGATAAGATGGAGTGTCTTCTTCAATGTTTGCAAACTTCACAAACTGGAGAAGAGAAAGGAGCATCAGAACAGAGGAAAGGAGACATTAAAAATGCTACATTCATAAACCAATCTATTAAAGTCACCAAACAATGTCTGTCCTTGTGAGGGTTTTAGTTCAATAGTAGTAATCATCATCATCATCAGTCTGTAAGCAGAACAGGGGTTGTGGTCAGCAGCATAAACCCACCTTACGCTCATAAAATAGACATACAGTACTAGGGATTTATCTTCTTCAAAATTCAAGTTTACATCGAAAGCTATGTTTAAAAGCTACACACCAGACTTAAGAGTTTAGGAATAAAATGTGATATTGGGCACAGCTCAGATGAAAGGCAACAGATTACCCCAATCTGAGCTATGCTTTCTAGATTGATGGGATCAAGCAGCTGTTGATCTATGCAGCTCTACCTCATCTGAGGCTTTGTGTGATCTCTGGATAAAATTTCTCCTATCTGAGGCGCTTTAGTAACTCTCAAAGTCTCTTACAGGAGGTCTTCTCTCCAGAATTCACTTAAAGGAGGCAGGGCCAGCAAAGCATTTTGTTATCTGAAGGAAAAGGATGAAATTATCCCTGATTATTTATGGACATTTCAGCTTCTGTTGGCCTTTTTATGGTTAAGAGATACAGTATATAGAATCTTAGTTTTTGTATTGATTATTTTTCCATGAGTTCAGTGGGGAACAGTTGACAAGAATATGGCAGTTTGTGTCAAGTGTCTGACAGGAAGAAAAAAAAAGGTTTTCTTAGCTGGAATTTTGCACCATTTTATATGTAAAGCCGGGGGATCCAACAGGAGAATATCATACTGGGTGATGGATTTGGAGAGAATAGGTGTGAGAACTGAGCTAAAAGTAAAAACAAACAGGTGAATATAAAGAGATGCTGTAAATTATCTGATAAAGACAGGCCTGATGCCACCTAGGAAGTTTCCCATCTTGATGTTGGATTTGAACATGGATCCTGCCTACCCATCTTTTATTCTCATATCACTGTATCATTGTTTTCTTTTTCACTGTTTATTCTATTGTTTATTCTATTGTTTCATTACTTTACTACTGTAAAGTACTGTAAATGTAAACATAATTTTACATTTCTTTTCATTTCTCTTCTCCAAGAGCAGCCCCACAGCGATATAGGTGGAAAATAAATAAAATCTTTCCAATCCCAATCTAATCCTTTACCAGTATACTGTATTAAATTTCCGGTGTAGGGGACAAATAACATTCTATCCTTCTATATGTGACTCTGAAGTTATCAAATCTACTACACAGAATTGCTGAAGGAATAAAATATAGGGGAATTATGTGCTTTTACATAGTGGAGTGAGATGTAAAAGCATCCACATCCTGGAGCCTCTGCCATAGAAGTCTGATGCATTACTAAACTAAACTAAACTAAACTCTAAACTCTAAACCCTAAACAACTAAACCATGCAAAAAAGGCTTAAGATTTAAAATAATTAATTTCAATTTCTGGAATTCTCATGTGTCCCAAAGTCTTACTGAGTTCACTGGAGTTAATGCCTGAGTTATCTTGAAACCTAAAGTAAGATTTCTTCACTTCCACTTTTCCAAGCTATGAATCATGCAAACTCTCCGGTGAAGAGATCAAAATGTGTGCATGCATGTTTTTCTGGAATGTCTTCATTTTCTATCAAAATAATTTTATGAGCTTTTTCCCATAAAACAGCAGGAACATTTTCTAGTGAATTAATTTTAAATATTGCCTATGCAAAAATGTATGTAGAATGCCATCTAATTTTTGAAATCCTGGTACCTTCTCCAGCTGCAGGAAGCCAAGAGAGAAAAAGAAATTGAAGAAAGTATACTATAGTCTTGAATAATTATATTAGTGCAGTTTTATCATCCAATCTTTCCAGGACATATAAAAACAAAGCAATGGGAGAAATTAAATTTGTAGTTTAGCTGCTAGTTTAAGTACAATAAAACATTAATGTTATATCTTTCTTTGGAATAATATTTAAAAATGAGGGGAATTGCATTTATTGGCTGAAAAGTAATAAAGTAGCAAAAGTCTTGAGGAATTTTTTAATTAAAGATTGTTGATATGAATATGAGCAAAATAAGCCCTAGCAGAATACGGTACCTCCATCTGTACAAATGTGTTTTAAACGGGAACAGTGAGAGATAGGTATTTAAAACTTTGTCTCTTTCTTTATACTCTTAATCTCTACAAGTAGTCTTTGATTTACAACCATTCGTTTAGTGACCTGTCAAAGTTACAATGGCACTGAAAAAAGTGACTTAATACAAGTCCTTGCACTTACAACTGTCACAGTATTTGGAGAGTCACACGATCAAATTTTGGATGCAAGTAGGTGCAGCATCCTGGGGTCATGTGATCCCCATTGATGATCTTCCCATATGACTTGCATTTGACAAGCAAAGTGGTGGGGAAGCTGGATTTGCTTAACGACTGCATGATTCATTTAACAACTGCAATAATTTGCTGAATAACTTTATAAAAAAAAAACCGGTTGTAGAATTGGGCACAACTCACTTAGCAACCACTTTCCTTAGCAATAGAAATTCTGCTAGCAATTGTGGTCTTAAGTTGAGGATAACCTGTACCCATATACTCCTATATTATAAAGGTTTTCTCTTTCTACTTACACATAGCGAGCATTTGATTTTTTTGTTTTGTTTTGCTCTTACAATACTTTTGTTTTCGATGTTTTGTTAACTACTCAGTGTGTTTGTAACTCTCTTGATTGACTGTGAATGATTTCTATTTGCATACCTCGACTTAGTTTAGAATTTTAGAATTTTTCTCCAATCCCTAAGGATCCTTGACAAATGTCTAAATTAGGTGGATTGCCAGGCCAATGGTAAAAGCTTGTTCCTTGCTTTATGATAATCATTTGACTCCATTCAAAACTGAATGTTGATTATTTTTCCTCTAGTAGCTGTAAAGGATGAATATAAGCCATAATTTCCATAAAAAGCATTTATAATCTCTACTGGTCCCAGTTCATGATTTGCAGGTGCTATTTCTGCACAGAAAGGAGGCAGTCTTATAGATTACAATGGGACTCTCTTAGGCTGAAGATAAAGGGTTTTGTTATTTTTTAATATCCACCATTCTTCCCTTTTGGGGGTTAACCTGCTGCTAGCATTTTACATAATCAAAAAGCAGTCATATTTTCCATGTCTATTCATGATATCCATCTTGGCAGATGGCAAAACTCCCTTGCCTCGGGATATTTTGGAATGGGAAATGAATTTAAACATATAAAGAAAAATATACAAAAAGAATGTGGGTGTACATATGGAACAAGGAGGGCATGACAATTCATAAAGCAGATTTGTTCAGCTCTGAGTATTATGATAAACACTGTCTCTGTTTAGCTCAAGTGACTATTTTTCAAAGCAGGCATCATTCTAAAGGAAGTGCTTTGAAGGGAGAGGAAAACAGGATTTCTTAAAAATTAGGCAGAGAAACCTCGCAGCAGCTGCCATCTTAAAAAGAAAAACCTTTCCTGAGTGAGCTTGAAGGGAGAATTCATCTTCAATGGAATCAGACAATTGTGCTCCTTCTGAGTAAAAGTGCCAGAAGTTAATAATTTAAAAATAATCTGCCTATTAATTGGGGTTCCTTTTTATAATGTTTACATAATCTGTTATTGGTTGAAATGTTATTATTTACGTATGAGAACCTTTCAAGGACCATATGATCTTTGCTTGTCTGCATATGATCTAAACTGGCACATAGCTGAGTTTCTGGAATGAATTACTCAATCTCTACACAAACATCTGGGTCTTACAATGACAGTAGTGTAGTCTCTTAAATCTTCCCCTTGACTTATAATGCTTCAAAGTCTTTTTGCAAATGACATGGGCAGCAGGGTTAATTCCTAATGTTCTGTATGAAGGTTTTCCATTACCTATATTTATTTTCTTCTTTTCCAACAGAAGGTCCTGGATTAGGGTGGCTGAAGACTTGCATCAGTGCGATGGTTTGAAAATGTGGATGTGGTTAACTGGTTCTTGTTTTTTTTTTAATTTTTTTCTTTTATAATTATATTTTCTATTCTGTTTGGTTTTTATTATACATTGCCCAGAATCAGTTTGGAGCTGAGTGGTACCTAAACTGATTAGTCGCAGATGATGTTTTACATACAGTAGCATGTAATAAATATTTGCTTCTTTCACAGATAATAAGTCTTTTTTATGAATGCAGTTCTTCAGTAACAAACAGCATATTGGGTACATGTACAGACAGAACACATACAGATACATCTTCCTAACCTGTTTTGGTTGTATATTTCTCATCATTGTGACCATTCCCCTTCTAATTTAATAGTACCGTGCTAACAAATATTACAGACATTGTACATCATTATGAGTTATTCCGCGTCTCCTGGATACTCTTGTAAATAAATCATAGGGATAAAGGAGAGTGTTCAGGTTGCATGATTTCTCTATTCACAGAGTGGAACACCTGCCTTTGTTTAGATGGCTGCCAAGTGATTCATGTGTCATGGACTCCAAAGTTTGCAGACATCTAATTAAGGTCCAGCTCAAATGCTGTTCAGATCTTCCTGCCTCTACATCACCCACTTTGTCCTTTTACTTTCTTCTCCCATTTACCCTTATTAAGTTTAAGGCACTGAAATTATGTTATAATGAATTTCTATACTTCTCTTGCCATCTCCTGTCCTTCTTTACTGGGTAGGTCAGAGGCTGTTCATTGCTAATGAATCTTTACAGTTCAAGCAAAAGCACAGGTGTGATGCACACTATCAACTCTTTCTCCAAATCTAACCACTCTCCTTTCAAAGATGCTCTTACCTCTAAATCACTCCAGTTCATTTCTGATACAAACAATTGTTCCCTCCCAAACAGTAAAGTCAGATTAGGAGACATGCATCTGGCCAATCAGATGAGACAGGTTTAATTTTGCAATGAACAGAAGCAGAGACAACTGTCTGCTGCCACACATCAAATCAATTTGTATTGGTTCTCTTTTCATTTCTACCTTCACTGCCTTTCTAGTCAGCTGATGGGGAAGGCAAGACTTCCATATCATTATGCTCTGCCTAACACTCCTTCTGGATATGGTTTCTTCTTTCTGAAACCCTTTTGGCCATTCAAGGAGGTTGCACTAATCTCTGCCCTCCCATATTGGAACTGAGACCCTCAACATCCAGGTGGGAAATATGTAGCTTTCCTTAGATGAAGGCCTAAACTTGGCTTATCAATGGCATGTACCATACTGTATTCCAAAAAATGGGTGAAACAAAGTTTAAATAATGTTGCCCTTAACAGTTAAGATATTTTCAGAAATCAATAGAATCTCTTAGACAATGATACAGATTTTTATAGAATAAAATTATAGAAAAGTGTGTGATCTCCAAAATCAGCTTACCGAATTGGTGCCAAGGATTTGAAGGTCAGGCTTTTCAGATTCCAACAGCTTGGCCACCATCTTCAAGAAACTTTCCACAAAGAGATTGATGCTCTGGCAGTGGCAGGCCATTAATAGCTGATCCAACGCTTCCATCGCAATACACACATACCTGTGGGTAGGTTGGTATAAAAGTACATCTAAAATAAGAGGTCTCCTTATAGGAGCTGAAATCTAAATTATCCAGAAAGTTAAAGTTAGAAAAGGCTGTCTCAGATGGGCAAACTATCCAGTACCCCAGAGCCAGGGTGAAATACATTTTGAGGGTATGGGACTGAACTTTGATTTTTATTCAACCCTTCCCTTCTTGATGCTCTCCTTCCATTATTCATTCACAACAGAGTCTGGACTCAAATCAGCCAAGGGGATTCATGACTGGCTGAAAATTAAAATCTAGTTTTTCCCAGGTCTTTGGGAAACACAAAGTACGAATGATTTTAATCTGAATTCACAAAATATTTCCCAACCTGTGTTCACCCAGCATGCTTAGGCCAGAAGCTGAACCAGCAGTACCCAACCCCATTAAGCCTGGGCTAGAATACTGTGTAAATCCAGCTGCCATATATATAAGCAGTTGCCTGACAAATCCAGATCCTGAAACATTCTTGAAGCTTAGTGAATGTGTCTTTTCCCTTACAGGAGGAGAGGCAGGGGTGGTATTCAGCAGGTTCTGACCAGTTCTGGAGAACCGGTAGTGGAAATTTTGAGTAGTTCGGAGAACTGGCAAATACCACCTCTGACTGGCCCCGCCCCCATCTGTTCTCTGCCTCCCTCGTCCCAGCTGACTGGCTGGATCTTCTTTTGTTGCCCTGCACAGAAGAACGGCTGGAAAGCAGGTTAGTGGGATGGGGAGCGAATGGGATTTTGCAGTATCCTTCCCCCACCACGCCCACCAAGCCACGTCACACCATGCCCACCAAGTCATGCCCACCGAATCAGTAGTAAATTTTTTTGAATCCCACCACTGAGGAGGCTTTTGGAACACAGCAAGTTGCAACAGGAAGAGAATGGGCGTTGGTTCTTACCTGACACGCCATTTCTCTGGGAGCCGTGAGGATCATCCAGTGTGTGGGAGGTGCTTCAGTCTGCGTCGTTGTAGGCTGAGCTTAATTACTGAGGATTGCTCCGCCCTTCACCACGTGGCTGCCTTGCAATCCCCAGTTTACGCGAAGTCGAGAGTGAATAAAAAATCCTGCTCTCCTCTTACTATGCTAAAGGGTTCATTGGCCGAAACAAGACCCCACCAGACGGAAAACTAATAAGGGTGGGGCTGGATGATCCTCACGGCTCCCAGAGAAATGGCGTGTCAGGTAAGAACCAACGCCCATTCTCCTGGAAGCCGTTCGGATCATCCAGTGTGTGGGACATACCAAAGCTTGGCTGTCCTACGGGGGGGACTCCGTCTGGTTCTGTGATCCCTGTGGTTCCTCGAGGACTCGCTGGAGGACTCGTCTACCAACTGAAGCCTCCGCCGAGGCAAATATGTCGATCTTATAGTGTCTAATGAAGGGAGATGGGAAGGCCCAAGTGGCCGTCCGACCAACATCAGCAATTGGAGCCTGGGTGGCCCCAGCTGCAGAGGTAGCAGCACTTCTGGTGGAGTGTGCCGTTATTCCGCTGGGAACTGGCAGGGCCTGGGACAAGTACGCCTTGGAAATAGTAGCTCCAATCCAGCGGCCGATGGTTGACGGGGACACTTTGTGGCCTAATGATGTGGGCTGAAAGGAGAGGAATAGGGATTCGGATCTCCTGGAGGGTTGGGTACATTTAATGTAAATGTGGAAGGCCCGTCTTACGTCCGGAGTGTACCAGAGCTTCTCCCTTTCAGCTAGGGTGTTTAAGACCCCTGAGATGTGCTCGACTTTGAGAGAGAGGAGATTGCGCTCCGCCCAACGGAAGAGGCGCTCGGCCTCTCTCATCAAACGGATGGACTGGGTGCCCCCTTGTCAGTTGACAAGGGCCTTGGCGGTGATGATGGCCGTGAGTATGAGGACATGCCGCCCGCGTTCCTGAGGGAGGAGTTGCGCAGGGCCAGGTGGATGGCGTGGCGTTCCAACCAGTTTATACTGCATGCCCGTCCTACCTGAGACCATCTGCCCTGTTGCGAGAGCGAGTGGATGTGAGCGCCCCCTCTGGACAGGCTGGCATCTGTGGTGAGGGTGAGACGCTGGGGCTCCTTGAAGCCATGTCCCTTGTAGATGGCGGGACTGGTCCACCAGAGGAGAGACTTGAGGACCTTTGGAGGCACCTTGACCGTGGTCTTTGAATTACTCTTGCCGGACCGTTGGAACGGGAGCAGGAACCACTGTAGGGACCTAGTGTGTAACCGGGCCCAGGGAACAAAGTAAATACATGAGAACATTTTACCTAGTATCTTAGACAATTCCAAAAGTGTCACCCCTTCCTGAACATCTGATGTGTTTGACGGTTTCCTGAATGTTAAGGAATGTTTCCGAGGAAGGGAAACCTTTCCTCGAACTGAGTCAATGACGGACCCCAAGTGGGTGATCCGTGTAGATGGTAACAGTCAGCTCTTTTGCCAGTTTACCAGGAACCCATGGTCTTGGAGGGCAGAGAGGGTAGCTCTGACATCCTTCTCTGCTTGGAGTCTGGAGTGGAACAGGATGAGAATGTCATCCAGGTAACAATGGAGACGAACCGGGAGGTTCCTGAGGTGGACCGCCAGAGCCGCGAGGACCCTAGTGAAGGTCCTCGGGGCAGAGGCCAACCCAAGGGGAGAGCCACATATTGTAAGAGGCGGTGGTTGTAGCAGAATCTGAGGAATTTGGAATGGGAGGGCCGGATTGGGATGTGAAGATACGCCTCTGAAAGATCTATAGAGGCTAGCCGGTCCCCCTGCCTGATGCCCCGTAGAATGGACTGTAGGGTGCATCTTGAACCTGCGGTAGATCAGGTAACGGTTCAGGCGTTTCAGGTCTAGAATAGCCCTCCATCCCCCTGAGGATTGGGGATCACGAAGAGGTGGGAGTAAAACCACTTCCCCCGCTGGGATGTTGGGACGGGTTGAATGGCCTGTACGTTGAGGAGATGCTGAATGGCTGAATCCATTAAGTTGCGTTTGGTGGGATCCCTCGAAAGGGGGGATGCCATAAAGAAGTCAGGGGGGGGACGCGCTGGAATTCAAGCACGAGACCAAGTCTGATGGTGTCACGGGCCCAGGTATCAGAAGTGGAGGGGTCCCATAGGTCAGCGAAATGCCTGAGGCGTCCGCCGATGGGAAGGGAGGAACAGGGCCTATCTGGTGCGCTGGAAGGCTTCCCTCCGGGACCCCTGAAGGGCCGTCTGTAGCTGCCGCCCCTCCTGTTCCTGTCATCTGGATCGGCTTGATCCAGGGGCTGAAGTGGCCGGAAGGAGGGGGGTCTCAGATACCTGGGCTGGAAAGGGGACTGGTAGGAGGGTCGGGAGGAACCTCTCCAAAAGGCTTGAGGGGTTCTTGACTCTGACCTCCGAAAAAAATGGGGGGAAGAAATTTTTTCTTGTTTCGGGTTTTGGATAGCAATGGCCCAAGGGCGGTGCCAAATAGTCTGTCCCCCTTAATGGGGACAGTGGCCAGCTTAACGTTGTGTTTTATGTCCGCCTGCCCGTGCTTGAGCTGGAGCAGGCGGCGAGCTGTAACGTGAGAGGTTATTGCTCGGGCGGGGAACTTAACCGCATGGTAGGTGGCGTCGGCCGAGAATTCTGCTGCGGCCGTTAACTTGCGATGTCCTGATGTGCCCTAGTGTTAGAGGGGGGAACATGCTGTTTCAGTTGGCAGAGCCACCGGATCGAGGGCCTGGTGAAAAAGGAAGCGGCCGTGGCCGATCTGATAGCCCAGGTGTCAGCCTGATGAGCCCTACTCAACGGCAGTTCGGACCTCTTGTCCTCGGGTTTTAGAGCCTCCAAGGGGTCACTGGGGGAGGACGAGGATACTAAGCCAACGATGGGTTCGACTACCTCGGGGGTGTTAAGCAAGTTGCAGAAGCTCGAATCGAGGTTAAGAACCTCTTGTCCTGACTGGGTGGGGCAGGGGGAGCTCTTATAGAGTCCACTGGTCTGAGACTAGGTCGTGAAATATGGGTGGGACCGGAATAACTTCCGCCTCCACCACGGGTTGCCTAAAAACGGCGTCCTCTTGTCCCTCTGCCGGAGGGGGGAGAGTGAGGAGGACTGAACAGATAGGCCAGAAATGCTCTTGGCCTTAAATATCCGGGATTTAAACATGTGTGGCTTGAACAAACCCACAAGGTGGGTTGATCGGGAGTGAGGCCCTCGTCCTCGGACATGTCCCCTTCCATCGGGTCTATCCATACCCCTTGGTGTATGGACCCCCATTCAAGATCTTCCTCCTTCCCGAACCGAACCAAGTCCTCTATAGCCTTCTCCATTTCCCCTTCTGGGAGGGGGCTGTCCCCCTATAAAGGTACCTGACCATGAGTGGGGTCCAATCTAGGCAAGGACCTGACTGATGGCGAGTCGTGTTCGGGCGCCATCGAGGGGGGACCGGACCTGGACATCTGTTAAAGGCCCTCTGCTATCCCCTGGCGGATAGCCTGTTCCATCCATGCTTGCATGTGCGCAGGAATCTCGACATAGGCGGCCTCCTCCTGGCGCAGGCCAGCGGCCGTGGGCGTGAAAGTGGCTTCGAGCGTTCGTCTGGTCATTGGTTCGGGCACCTGGAGTCCCTGTAAGCTGCGCCTGGAGAGGGAAGAGGAATCTGGAGGAGGGGGGGTGTCTGGAGGTAGAAGGAAGGGGGCTGGGGGCACTGGTTGTGCCTCTCTAGATCACCTGTCAAATTCTTTCTCCAGTGCCCTATGGCGCCTTAGGGCGTCTCTCTGAGAAGCCTTGGAAGTTTCCTTAGAGGCTTCCTTAGCCTGTTTGCGCAGGTGGTAGGACTGAGATCTGGCCTTCAACGAAGGGCCTCTAGTGGAATTGTCATCTGCCATTATAGAAGAAAGAACTATAGCTCCAATTTAAGGCGGTTGGCTCGCCAAGGGTTCGGCCTACAACAAAGGCCGGGTGTCCTTTCAGCTGGCCCGCACCCCCTTTTGGAATTTAGATATGTAAGTTCTACAATATTATTATTGTTATAATTATTAATATAAATATATATAC